TGGGGGGGGGGGGGCCACTAGCCGTTGCCCGACGGATATAATTAAAAAAAAAGTAAAAAAGAAAAGTTGGGGGATCCCGCGAACCGACCGGTTCACCCAGGCCGGGACCGGGCCGAGTCGACCGGGCCCAAAGGGTGAACCGGTCCCCTATCCCGAACCCCTCCCAACCCGCGAAAAATGACGGGACTGGGTTCGGCGAGCCGGTTCTCGAACCGATCGCGGGCCGGGGTGGGTCGACCCGGTCCCCCTGCCAGTCCTAACTACCATAGAAAGAAACTAAGAAATACTCGATGAAAATACAACTCGAATAGCAATAAATCAACAACAAATATATAATACAACACTCTTAGCATTCCAACCATATCAAGAGACGCAACAATTTATTAATCAACACACGAAATTCTAAAGAGAAATAAGGACTAATAGAACGGAAACAGAGTCGACCACATATCAATGGAGAGAAAACGAAATATAAAACTAAGGATATTACCTTTTTCGGTGCATCGAACTGAAAAACTCGAGCTGCTGGAGACAATTCCACCACCAACAGATGAACTCTGGTGAGCTCCGATGAACAAAAAAGAAAATAAAAAACTAAGACTCAAAGTTTCTGCGGATTCGATGTTATAAGTAACACTGTTCTCAACCTAAATTTTGACCTTCCTCCTCTATTTTTTTTCCAACCTTTTAACACTGAAGGAAGAAGGTATTTATATAGGGAATTAGGGCATATTTAGGGGGGAAATCAGCTGAAATTTTTGAATTTCAAAATCCTCCCAAAGCTGAAGGAATATGTTGATTCAATGCTAAATCACAACAATTTCCAACGAGAAGAAGGCAAGGTGGTCGGCCATGATGAATCGACTATCCTTGAGGTGATACGTGGAGCGATCTCGCAGCCACAAGGATGAAAAGCGCGGCTGCCTCAAGGCTGGAGCAGTACTATGTGTACTGTTTATCGAGGGAATAGGAGAAGACGACAAGGAAAAGTTGCGTACTATTGTACGCGTACTGCTGCTGCTTTCCGTGAATTCCCCGTTTGGAATCGTGAACTACTCCGTCTATTGTATATATCTGTTATCATTGTCGTCTTGCTGAGACGCTGTGAAGACGTCGCTGCTGAATTGTTGTTAGCGTTGGAAGCTACTGCTAATAGAATTGGTTTTTCTGGAATTTTGGGCTAAAGGGTGGGCAGGAAGTAAAGGGAAAAGGTTGGGTCTGCTAAGAATTGGGAATTGGATCGGCTGAAAAAAGAGTTGGGTCTGCTGGCTCAAAATTGGTCCTTGCAAAAGGTTGAACAAAATTGATTAGGAGTAATAGCCTAGATAAATTTCAATTGTGACCAAATCGAATTCAATCGATAAATTTGGTCAAAACTTAAACAAGATGAATTAATACAAATTAATTAACGAGCTTCTTAGTTTTAACAAAAATAAAAATAATTAACTTAATTAGGAACTTATAACTCAAAAATGTAAGTATTAATT